GATTTTGACATGATTGCTTTCTTCAGAGGCCTGTATGCTTGGTTAAAAAAAAAATGTCCATCATTACCAGAGTCTTCCTCAGTCTTTGCACTGAAAGCGTTCCAATTTTTTTCTCATAGAAACACCAGTCAATAGAATCAAACCTAGTCGTCTTATTTTAACTCAATTACTTTTTTGGATGCTGTGTGTGAAAATGCAACCATGCTCAGGTCCTGGGGGTTAGAAACTCAATATGTCGTTTTCAAGAGGGATGATCTCAGGACTTGGCACTAAAAGCTGGGCGAAGGCAAAGCTTCTAGGGGAGTCAATGTGGGGCCGAGAGAGAGAGATTCATAATGGGAATTTATAAAGCATTGTTAGTTAAAAAGAACCAAGGTCTGTGGAAATTGGGAATCTCGAATAAATAAAATGTTGAGATAAAATGACTCTTCTGTGTGGAATGGTATAGAGATGAGAAGAATAAAATATTGAGTTATCCATATACTTGGAAAATAAAAATGGAATGTCTAGGAAGGGAAACATTAGTAGGATGGTCTTGACAGGCAGACAGCTACTGAACATTGCATACCTGGCCTTCGGGGGCGAGCAGAAGCAAATATGGAAAGATGAAGGTAGGTAATTTATTTGAAGAGATTAGGACAACCAGAGAAAATTACCCAAGGCATTGGGTAGCAAACTTTATAGAAAGGAAAAATAGTTTAAATAGAGAAGTATTGTCCTCCAGGTGAACATATTTCATACTAAACAAAAAATAAATCAGTAGAGACGGTGAAACAAATCATTGTGAGAGAAGAGTAAATAATTACCTAGAGACAATGCCCTGCACTGTGCTGTGTTCTAGAATCCATAGCACTCTACAGCTCTCCTTTCCCACTGTGCCCCACAAAATTATAAGGGCAAGCCTACACTTACAGCTTATATATTCATATTTAATTCACAAACCAAGTCATTTTGACAAACATTTCTTGAATAAAACACTTTTAAGTCTCTCTTTAAAAGGAGACGAAAAGTGATGGAGGAGGAAGAGCGGTATATTCTTTCAAGAACAGACAACAGCACAAAAACGCCGTTATAGCTCATCCTTTGAGTCATTTTAAGTATATAATATGAATAGGAGGTAAGCTAATTAGAAGAAAGGGCAGAAGATGGGTAGAAATCCCTTGTGATTGCTTTATTATTATCCCTTAGACACCTGTATGTTTTCTAACAAGAAACAAAAAGAGTGTGAATCCGGGTGGCAGGGGAAGTGGGGAGGAACTGAGAAGAGTAGGGGGAAGGAAAACTATAGTCAGAATATATTGTGGAAAAAAATCTATTTTCAATAAAAGAAAAATCATTTCAAACCATGTGTTGAGAATCAGATGAACTGAGATGAGAGGTAAAAATTTGATGAAGGTTAGGCAGTTATGGTACACGCCTTTAATCCCAGCACTCAAGAGCCAGAGGCAGGTAGGTCTATGTGAGTTCGAGGCCAGCCTGGTCTGTAAGAACTATTTCCAGGACAGCTAGCACTGTTACCCAGAGAAACCTTGTCTCAGAAAAAAAAAAAAATTTAGGGAATCAGTAAGGTTGGAATTCAGGAATGAGCGTCATTTTTATTCAGGTTTCTTCAAGTCCTCTTCATGATGGTTTTAAAATAAGGTTTACTGACCAGTGGATAAACATTACCTGCAAATCTTCAGGCTCTATCTCAGACCTCCTAAATAAAACTTTCATTGAGGGTACTGGGAATCTAAGCTTTGACAGTGCACTCACTGATTCTGAGCAGTGCTAGGACTTTGGAATTACTAGGTATAAATATAGCTTTTGTTTTCTATTTTTCCTTTATGACAAGGTTAGTTGAAAGCCAATGTGAAATGCATATGATTTCACTCTTCATTTCTCTTCATCTACAGCCACAGTGCAGGTGACTTCTGAAAAGCTGGCGCTTGGTAAGTGTGTGTTCCCTCGGAATACAATATACACCTTCTAAAGAGTTTGAGGGCACTAGGAATTGTTGACACTTGCACGTCTTACTTGGAGATGGAGTTCTCTAATTGGACCACTGCTCAGGAGTTCATTTTTTCTGCTTTCCCTTGCTCCTGGGCTGATTCTGTCTTCTGCTTCATCCCACTGCTCTTCATCTATGCTTTCATTATTGTTGGAAACCTGGTTATCATCACAGTGGTCCAGAGAAATACGCACCTCCACACACCCATGTACTTCTTTATCAGTGCCCTTTCCTTCCTGGAGATTTGGTACACTACAGCTACCATCCCAAAGATGCTCTCTAGCCTGCTTAGTGAGCGAAGGAGTATTACTCTGAATGGTTGTGTCCTGCAGATGTATTTCTTCCACTCTACAGGCATCAGTGAGGTTTGTCTCTTGACAGCTATGGCCTTTGATCGCTACCTGGCCATCTGCAGCCCTCTTCATTATCCTACTATCATGACTCCTAGACTGTGTGCCCAACTGACCCTAGGTTGCTGTGTCTGTGGCTTTCTCACACCCCTCCCTGAGATTGCTTGGATTGCTACACTACCTTTCTGCGGCTCGAATCACCTTGAGCACATCTTCTGTGACTTCCTCCCAGTGTTGCGCCTGGCCTGCACAGACACCCACACCATTGTCATGATCCAGGTGGTAGATATTATCCATGCTGTTGAGATCATTACAGCAGTGATGCTCATTGTCATGTCCTATGTCAGTATTGTGGCTGTGATTCTGCGCATCCGATCAGCTGAAGGCCACCGCAAAGCATTTTCCACATGTGTCTCCCACCTGATGGTCTTTTTGCTCTTCTTTGGCAGTGTGGCTCTCATGTATCTTCGCTTCTCTGCTACCTACTCGTTGTTCTGGGACACTGCCATTGCTCTGGCCTTTGCTGTTCTATCCCCCTTCTTCAATCCCATCATCTATAGCCTGAGGAACAAGGAGATAAAAGAAGCCATAAAAAAGCACATAGGTCAAGTGAGCATCTTAATTCACAAGAGCAAGAACCTTACATAACACGGAGTCTTTGAGAGGCCATATTGATTCTCTTTCATTCTCATCTCTCAGAAATCTTTTTATCAGCCTTTTACTGAAACGTGTTTCCCAAATGTCCCTGATGCATGATACTTACAAACAACTAAATTAAAATTATCATTGATTTTCTTATGTGCTCATAGATATGTGTGCATGTATGGGAATGCATGTGTTCACGTGTGACGAGGCCAGAGGTAGATGTTAAATGTCTTATTCAATTGCTTCTCCACCACCATTTTCCAGACAGGATCTCTAACTGAATCAAGAGCTTGCCCATTGGCTGAATTGTCTAGCCAGGAAGCCTAATGATTCATTGTTGATGGGCCCTGATTTGGTTTAATGGCAAGGACTTGATCACCTGACCCATCTCCATAGTTCCTAAATTTGATAGCTTCTTTTTAGTCTTCTCCAACCCTGCATATTTTTGGGTATAAACATAGGTACCAAGAAAGGTCTTCCATTTCAAACATCATCAATTGAACATTATGCCACTCAAGTTATATACAGTAACTTTTTGTTGCTGAAGTTATCTTGATAAACACTTTAATTTGAACATAACCTGAACAGTTATTTTATGATTTGAAATGAAACTCAGTTGGTGAAGTGCTGATCTAACATGCATGAGGCCCTGAGGTCTATCCTTAATACAAATAAACAACAAAGAAGACAACAAAGCTGATGGGGTGGTGCACAACGTTAACCCCAAAATTTCAGTGGCAGAGGCAGACACATCCCTGTGTGTTTGAGGCAAGCTTGTCTACTTAAAGAGTTCCAGAACAGTTGGGACTACACAGAGAGACCCTGTCAAAATAATTGTATGTTGGACATCAAGTGTAGAGTCTTCATAAAATGAAGTGTCACTCTGTATAGAATCGAGGAAAAACACTAACCTATAAATTGAGTATTTGAATTTAAATTAAGTTACACACCAAATTATCAGTCTCTCATAATGAATTAAAATTTATGTTTTCAGTATACTCTTGTGTGCATGAATATTAAGCAATGTATATAATAATGTCTAACTACTAAACCAGCATCACCACTCTAAGTTTGATGTTACAGCTAACAGGTCAACCTACTGAATAGAAGCCCATTTATTCTCTTGGCTTTCAGGATCCCACACTCTCTGTAGTACAGTGTTAAGGGCTCCCTTTGCTAACATTTTGTCATGTGTGTTTCATTAGGAGTCATTTTCTCCAGTAGCCATGCTTCAGTTTGGATAGGATAAGACTCATTACTCTATATATTGGCAAAACTTTATCCATCTTTCTTCCACTAACACAAACCCTGTAGCTGCCAGCCTACTTTCCTTGCTTCTGTATCATAATCTTTCATCTTCATTCCTAAAATCTATAGAAAGACAGAGGTAACAAGGAAAGTCTGACATTTCAATATCCAGTGCCATTTAATGCTGAGCTTGACTAGGGAAAAGGAGGAAAATGAGGAAAGCTTTCTGTTGTGGGTAGAAGACGTTAAAATAAGACTACACAGGATAGTTTATTTTTGAAATGAGAGAAAAACAACAAGGGGATTCAGGCAATGCTGTTGAAACTTGTGATTATTTTTCTATCTGTGAATGTGTGACGTCCCTTAATATTATACACTCTAAGTCTGTAAATTTTCTTGGTATTAGCAATTTCACCAAATTTAAAGGAAAATGTTGTATTTTGATGTTCCTTTAGTACTTAACGAACACCATTCCCTTGTTTTTGGTAGTATCATAAAAATGCTGCTTATGTTTAACTGCTGTATGAAAAAATTATCCCATTTTTTTCTGACCATGACACCTTTAACTTTTGTATTACATAATTGTTTTCTAGACATAGTCAATGCCTTTAGAAATTAGAATAGCTAATTAATTCTTACCTCCACACTTTCCAAAATTGAAGCCAAGACTCCCACTTTCTGCAGAATGTTTTTTATCTTGAAATGTAGATCTTAGTTTGCTGCTCTGCCTAGAAATCTTCCACAGTCAAACACAATCACTGCAAATTATTATAGCCCTTTCATTAACTTGCTTGTGTATATTTGTGTGTGTGCGCACACGCATTTGTGTGTGTGTGTGTGTGTGTGTGTGTGTGTACATGTGTTTAGCACAAACTATTCCAAGCTCATGGAAAAAAATAGAGAGAATGTAGGAGTTAAAACTTGTTGTGTGGTGACATTAATGATACATTACATTGTAAATATAATCTTCATGAGTATACAGAATTCAAGAAACATGCTTTCTGAATGGATATAATGGGAGCTAATAATACATTCTCTGTTGACTTCAAGTTATTGACATATTTGTTTAACAAAAATTTCACTACATTTATTAACCCAATATTATTGCAAAAATTAAATAAAAATATGAATTCGTACTTGTATTTGTATTTTTGAAACTAAAAATGCAATTTTCTACTTATTGCACATTTAGATTTTAAGCACTCTATTAATTGTGTCCAATACAGTGTTTTAAAGAGTAATTTATAATATTCATTTTTCTCATTCCTATTATAAAAGAGAAAATTGGTTTATAGCAGTAAAGTGACTTTTTACAAAAGGCTAAGCTATAATTCAAATCCAGAGGTAACCTTCTCCAAAAGCTTTGCTTTAACCACCCAGGGAGTATTTTCTAATACTGTTGCTTTGTGAAAATAGAGAGGTACTATATTACCTGGGAGATTAGTTGACTGGGGTTCTATTTGCTCTATCATGATGCAAATCACAAATAGCCAAGGCATGGTTTTCAGAGGATAATCCAGAGACCCATGATCTTGACTATGAGCTCCACAAGCTTATAGCTTGCAATCTTAAGAACTTGAAGCTTGCGGCTCCAATAGCTAGAGTTCAGAAATTTACAATACCTGCTATTCAAGTCAGAGACTTCCTATAATGGTTCTTGACTAGAAGTGGTCTGCACTCACTGAACAGTGACCCATAGTTCATTAGCAGCTGGTAATGGCCAGTGAAAGAGATTTCAAATTCTACATGACAACCCTCAACTCTTGGGTTATGTGATGGCTATGCTTAGGCATCAGCTTGACTTTATCTGGAATGAACTACAATCCAGAAATAGGGGCACACTTGTGGTCCAGAACTTGAGACCTTTAATCTGGATCTTGAGGCTAGAAGGTACACCTTTAATCTGGGTCACACCTTTCACTGGAAGCCTATATGAGGGCAATGGAAGAAGGAAGCATTTTTTTCAGTCTCTGCCTGTTTGACTTCACCTTGCCAGTAATCCATTCCTTCACTGACACTGGAGCCTACTTTTCTGGATTCCAGCATCTAAAGAAGACCGGCTGAGACATCCAGCTTCGAGGAACTGATCATCTATTGGATTTCTGGACTTTCGCTTCAGGGCTAGTCATCATTGGACTGTATTCTGGAAATCATTCCAATAATCTCCCATATTAGCAGTGGTTAAGAAGAGACCAGCGTCACTTAGGAGAAATCTGGGAAGTGTTTTGAGAGTAGAGAGAAGCTGTGTTCCAGCGGTGGCCAAGGTTGTCGGACTTGATAATGTTTAAGAGTCACCAGGTAGTCCTAGTTTTGAAGTCATGAAAGGGCCATGGAGAGCAGCTGAGGCTTGGCACTGTGGGAAGCCAGGAGAGGTCATTGGTAAAGTATACTCTCAGTGACAGTAGAAGGCCAGGTACTAAAGAGATCGTGTGAAGGAGCTGAAGCTTGGCACATGAAGAAAGCCTATGAAAGGCTGTTGAAAGTGCAGCCCAGCTGCAGGAGAAGACATCAGAGTTTCAGATATGCTGGTACCAAGGGACCACTACCAAGAACAGCAGCAGCATTGAAAGGGTGTCAGAGAGAGTGGAAGGGGAGGAGGAATGGAGAAGGGAAGGAGAAAGAGAATAAGGGGGCAGGATGACCAAGATGGGGGAAGGACAGAGAGGGAGAGAAAGGAAAGAGATATCTTGATTGAGGAAACCATTATGGGGCTAGCAAGAAATATGGCACTAGAGAATTTCCCAGGACTCCACAAGGATGACTCCAGCTAAGACCCTAAGCAATAGAGGACAGGGTACCCAAACTGGCCTCGCACTGTAGTATCTTAAATGTCACCATAGAACCTCCATCCAGCAACTGATGGAAGCAGATGCAGAGATTCACAGCTAGCATTGGACTGAGTTTCCAGAGGACAGTCAAAGAGAGGGAAAAGCAAGGTGATCAAGACCGTGATGGGGAAACCTACAGAAACAGTGAGCTAGTGGGAGCTCACTGATTCTAAACTGATAGTGGGGAATCTGCATAGGCACAAACTGGGCTCTCTGAATGTGGGTGACAGCTGTGTGACTGAAGCAGGCTGCGGGGCCACTGGTTGTGGGACCAGGATTTATCCCTAGGGCTTGAACTGGCTTTTAGGAGCCCATTCTCTTTGGAGGAATACCTTGCTCAGCCTAGATGTAAAGAGGAGGGCCTTGGTACTGCCTCATGGTGATATGCCAGACTTTGTTGGCTCCCCATGGGAAGCCTTGCCCTCTCTGAGGAGTGCGTGGGGGAAGTGGGAAGACAGAAGGGAGATGGAACTGGGACTGGTATGTAAAATGAGAAAAGGTTGTTTTAAAAAGTAAACTAAAAATAGTGAAGGGCTTATGTGTCAGTTAGACAAAGTTCAGTTGCACTGGTTGGTTTTGTGTCTCAATTTAACACAAGCTAGAGTCATCAGAGAAGAAGGAACCTCAGTTGAGAAAATGCTTCCATGAGATCCAGTTATAAGACATTTTCTCAGTTGGTGATCAGTGAGTTAGGCCCATGGGAGATGGTGCCATTCCTGGACTGGTAGTCCTTCTTCCATAAGAAAGCAGGCTGGGAGGGTCAGGGGAAACAAGCCAGTAAACAGTTCCTCTCCACAGTCTCTGCATCAGCTCCTGCCTCTGGGATCTGTCCCTGTTTGAGTTCCTGTCATGACTTCCTTCAGTGATGAAGGGCAATGCTGAAGTGTAAGCCAAATAAACCCTTTCCTCCCCACCTTGCTTTTTGGTCATGGTGTTTATCGCAGCAGTAGAAACCCTAACTAAGACAGGTTAGTATTATGGTTTTCAGGTCTATGGTATTAAGACCTTCTGTTCTTGAGGGTTGCCATATCTCTGGGCATTCTGGAATTCTCCCAGGGACTAGCACTTGCTTTCTCTTGTCCTCAGCACTTCAGAGATTTCTACCTCCCATACTCTTTGCTTTCTGCCCACCCTTAACTTCTGCCATTTTCTGTGTCCACGGTCTCTGCTCCCTGACATTTCTGTTTCCAGTTGCATCCTGGAGCTCTTTCTTCCAGTGCCTCATTGCCTCATTTGCTGATGCTCAACTGTTGTGATTGCTGACATCACTGCCTCCTCTTTGTGTTACCAGCTTAGCATGCTCTACCAATTAAATAGATCACACCAAAGCATTCTACTTTCTGAACAATATATTCTATCGTCTTAGCCCATTTAACAGTCAAAATCAAAGACAATTTTAAATATGAAGTAGCCCCAGCAAAATAAAAGATAAAATCTCAAGAGAATGGCTTAATAATTTTATTCCATTCTATGGGAAAATATTAGTTTCATATTAAATTAGTCTATTTGACTTTGTTGATGAATGAGTAGAGAAAATTTGACTTGAAAATAAGTTTACAGAATAGAAAGTCTAAATTTTTGGCTATGAAGCTTTTGGATCCTGTGAGGCCAAGAGGAGAACATCAAACACCTCACTTTGTCCCGACGCCTAAGCCTAGCTGAAGCAAGCTGTTCAGGGCTGATTAATGCTGTATGAATATAGATATGCCCAAGGCTGATAACCAAGACCCAGAAGGACAGTCCTCCAAATCACCCCACCCATGCACAAAAGACTTCTCTTGTAAAAGTCATTCATTTTATAATTTCCCTAAGGTTTGATTAAAAATTAGTCAAACAGTAAATAATTTTTAAAAATTTAACTTTAAAATTTAAAATTTACTTTTTAAATTAAAAGCTCCTTTTGAAGTTCAGGTTTAACTTTGACTCTTGATCATTGCAGATCTTCGAAGTCTGTTTTCTTGTAACTATATCTGAACACATGTGCATTACTCTAATTACTACTTTTTAATTAGATAATTCCCTTCCTGGGCCTTCTCTTTAACCCAGATGTACATGATCCACTCTCAGTTTTTAATTAAAAATTAATTTTCCCTTATTATCTTACTTACTGAACACAGTTTTTGACCATATAGTCTTTCTGTGGGATCTGCCAAGCATTATCTTTTTTAAAAAATTTTTATAAATTTTGAGATTATAGTTACAACTTTTCTTCTCCTCCCTTTTCTCACTTCAAATGCTCCCATATACCCCTGATTGCTTATTTTTAAATTAATGACTTCTTTTATCATTAACTGTTGTTACATGCATATATGTATATACATATTCATACCTAAATATAACCTTGCTCATTTTGTATAACATTACCTGTGTGCATTTTCTGGGAGGACTGTTTTTCCCACTCTCAACATTCCTTAGTTGTGTGTAATTCTTTGTTAGGCTGAGGCTTTGTCAGTTCCCCATCCACTTTGGTGTGACTACCGGTATCATTCTTGTCTATCTTGTGTATAGGCAGTCATATTGGTATGACTTTATGGCTTTGTCAAATATATTTTTTGACATAAAAAATAAAAAAATATATTTTAATTTATTTCTTTCTCTTGTATATGTTTCCTTTGGATTTTGTTTATTGTTTTCTTGACTGTGCAGAGGCTTTTCAACTTGATTACCACTTGTCTTTTGTGGTTCCTGCAGGTTTTTTTCAGACTCAAGAAGTCATTACTTAGAAGTTTTACAAAGCCCCTTCATATTTTCTTCTTGGGTTTTATTTAGTTTTTATATATTCAAATAAAAGTTGATAGGAAATACAAAGGCAGCAATTTGGAAAATATGTTGTATCACATGGCTCAGGAACCACTGCCTAGAGTTGAAATGAGAAAGAAAATATTTTATTTTTATTCAAGAGGTTTGTTGAGTATCTACCATATATATTGATAAGATTAATTCATATTAACTTTATAGGATTCTGGAATGGATATGTGGAAGCATAATAGTAGACTGAAATATAAAGTTACATCTTGTAGCTATGGTTGAGGTCACTTAATAAATCAAGACCACACCAATATGAATATCATGGCATTCTTCTCCTCCTTGATTTTAGACAGTCTTCTCACAGTTCATCAACATTTATTGTTCTGGTCTCTACATTCTGTGTCCATCTTGCCATAACTATAAAATGTTTAATAACTTATAGTGGCACACACCTACACCACGTATCGTGGTTTGGTTGACTGGACTGGGTGTCATTTAAAAATGGGTCTTCAATAGAGAGGGTTATGAAAATTGAGTATCAACACAAAAACCTTAAAAAATTGGATACATCCTAAATTACATTAAAATTCAGTTCATTATATGAAAGACTTAAGTGTAATATAAAGCTGTTAGAAGAAAACCTGGAGAAAGCTTTTGACACAGGTTTTGACAATGATTTCGAAGATAAAGAAGCAAAAGCATGAACAACAAGAGCAAATAGGATAAAGGTGGAGCTGGGTAGCAGCTTTGTGATGGAGTAATAAACATTGTATGATCATATTTTGTTTCCTTATTTTTCATTAGTAAAGTAACCTAAAGGAACTATACATAGGAAGGAAATTCTACCAACTTAAATATATGTAAAATAATTTGGTTTCTGACTCATGGGCATGTTTAAATGTGCTATAAATAGTTTATATATATATTTCCCAGCAATAATTTTATTTAATTAACTTTAAAATATTGTTTAATTAGCTTTAAAATAAACACATTCATAGACCTTACTATCCTGTACTTTCTATTTGAATGATTAAAGGTACATTTATAGCTTATTTTTTCAAAGAATCTAATCAGTGAGATCATAAATAAAATTTCTCAATTTTCAGAAAGATCGTAGATCAAAATTTGAAATATATTATTGAGTAAAAGGTAGTTAAATACCTGAAGCTGGGTCTTGACAAAGTTGTTGTGTGTACTTCCTAGAAAGATCAGAACAAGAAAGCAATGTCTTTGAATTCCCTAAGCTCTCTTCTCTGTGGAGTCCAAGAAGGAGCAACCTGGAACTCCTTCCTGGTTTACAAATTCTCCTACCTTAAAAGATCACTGAATAAAACACAATCCAACACAGCCCCTGCCTTTCATCTGTTACTCTTAGTACTTTTGCATCTGAAAACTTTGTTTTCTTTTCTTTTGTAAATTCCTGTTGAGGTCATGAGAGCCACAGCTCCCCAAAACTGCTGAGTCACCTTGTCTGTGGAAGTCAGCCACTGCCTCAACAGAAACTGTCCCCTGGAGATAATGCTGATTGTCTATGCTTGGCGGGATTCTAAAACTGTTTTCCTCTTGGTCTTTGCCACATTTATGTTTCCAACATTTGTATCTGCGGTGGACTAGACATAAAAAGAACATTTTTTCTCTCTTCACTACATTTCATTTAGCAGAATTTTAGATTTTGGGGAGAGATGGAGCACCCTCCAAAGGAAGCCGTGAGTACAAATGAATTCTCATCCCTGATACAATTAGGAAAGCCATTTCTTCTGAACTTTCTATTCCATCTTTTCCAGGGTCATTAAAAATAGCACTTTTTGACTCTACAGGAGTAGTTTGATTTTAATTATTTTGTGAATGTTTCACTTTTAAAAATGACCTAGAACTTTACACTTAATAATAATAAAAACTCAACAATTACTTGCTAAAGTCAGATATATCATACACAAAACAACTAGGTAATTTGAAACCAAATAATACCTTTAATAGTTTGTGTCTGTGGAATGACTATAATTACTGGCCATGGAAAACTATTTATGAAAAATAAAGAAACATTAAAATATAAACTCTGTGCTGCATGTTTTAGATCTAAGAAACAAGGGAAGAAGTGCCTTTTAGAAATGGCCCTATGAAAATTTTCCTGGATATTGTTACACATAACCTTTATTTCTTTAAATTAAAACATAATTTTGTCTTGAAAATAATATAACATTTTATATTAAAAAAACCAATTACTGAAACACTTATTATTTACAGTTGTGACAAGTGAGGAGACAACTGGTGGAATTTAGATTTTCTTTTGTTTTTAGAATTTCTTTAGTAAATCAAATAAGAAGAGTATATAATACATAATCTATACTTTTGAATATGAAGAAAAATATTCATGGTTGTGTGTGTGATTCATTAAATTAATTACAAACTATCCCTGACTATTCCTTAAATTTACAGTACGGTTAGAACTTATTAATTATTTATGTTGTTTAGCCTTACAAGGGAATAAAATATTTCTTTTTTTCTATATGAAATTCTGTGATGTTGCTTCATCAGTCCAAATTTGTTCTTTCTATAAAATATTTTGAATGATTAAGACCTATTAATTTAAGCAATAGTTATTTTTAGTTAAAAATTACAGGTTATATTACAGCCCCTCCAACAGTATAAATTAACAGGCTTAACAAGGTGTAAACAGATTCAATGTGGTTCAATGTCTTGGAATATATAAGAAGGATAGGGTTATAAATATGAGAAGTAGCAACAGAAGCATTATTATTTTTCTTCTTAAAATCTTTAATTGGCATAATTATCACACATATGTATCTTGGAATACACAACAATATTTCAAAACATGAAGAGACTTTCTAACTTACAGGCTGTGGAAAGCAGTGGACCAAAGGTTTTGGAAACCGCGGAAGAAATCCAGCACAGAAGACAGGAGGTGTTAGACCAGTACCACAGGTTCAAGCAGCGTGTTGCTGAGAGGGGTCAGAAGCTTGAAGAGTCCTATCACTATCAAGTTTTCAGGAGAGATGCCGATGACCTGGAGAAATGGATCATGGAGAAGCTTGAGGTTGCAAAGGATAAGAGCTATGAACCCACGAACATACAGGTGACTTAGTACCACGGATGTTCCCCAAAACTGACCCTAAGTTCTCTAGAGAATGAAATGAGCTTTTCTTTATGTTAATGGTGAGGGGTGGGTGTTAGAATTCATAATTCAGGGTCCCAAGGCTGGTCCCAGGAGGGGCAGCGTCAGGATGCTTGAGTCTGCCTGCTTAGGAAGCAGACAGATATGCCATGCAGCGAGAGCGTGGATATAATTTATTTAATGGGTAAGGGGATAATGGAGTGGAGAGTGGGTGGAGAGGGACTAGAGAGGAGCAGGAACTACTCTTGCCTCCGTGGGGCTGAGAATTGGGAGTGGGCGGGGCTTGTCTCTTAAAGAGACAGGGTACCTAGGTGGCAGGTCAGGAGGGCAGATTGTAACAGTGGATATACGCACAACATATGTACAGAACATAGCCAAAGTGGTGGAATGGGAAGTTTACAAATTCAGTTAGGAAAAAGGTTAAAGTCGTTCCTTCTTTATAATGTTGGAAATTGAGACAGAAGAAAGAAAACAGACATCAAAGAAATGACAGCATATCAGCTGTTGAAAATACAGAATCATACTGCATCACATTGAAGTCTCAGAACTCAGAACTCTCATTCTTTTAATTAAGCATGTGGATGTCATAGGAAGCTTAGACCATTTACTAGAGACAAAAGTTCTGCTTCTACATGACTGCTGCAGAATCCAAGTAGTACTCATGCACGCCAGCATTTTTCGAGAGCTTGCTTCACAAAATAGTGGCTGAAAGCTCCAGAAACGTGACATACCATGTGTTTTCAGTGTTGTGACATTAATGGTGAAACAACTGACCTTTTTTTAAGAGAGTAAAAATTCACTAGTGCTTCTAAAGCAGCTGCGGTCCGTTCTCATCAGCAGTGGGGGACTTTTCCAACTCAAAATAGTCCTTTATGGCTGTTGTTATGTTCAAACCAAAGGTTTAAGGACAAGAAGTTTGGTGGAAAGCTCTACATCAGTCTGTTGACATACTGCAAAGCAAGATCATAATTGGTGGTTGGTTTTAAAAAGGCAATAATGCAGCAAGATCTGGGTGATGTATGTGTACAGCATTGATTCATATAAGACAAGAGCAAAGCTCACTGTGAACTTTTAATGGATAATTTCATTATCGCGTGGCACTTTTTAAAAGCGAATTCAGTGATGCCATGTATTACGTGGTTTTATTCACATAGGAGTCTGTGGAGCCTTCAGTAGAATATTGTTTTATTGATAATTTTCCAAACGAAAAAACCACCTGTGCGGTCTCTGGTTGAGGGGTTGTGTTCAGCTGTTCTACCTTCAGTGGACACTTGTTTATTTTAGGATGTGGTTGTTTCTACTATGGCCGAGGGAAATTGCTGAGTACAGGTCAGGGAGTGAGAAATCCGCTTAGAATAGAGAGGAGGAACAAAAAGAGTACTTGGTGTTCCCATGACACTGCATTTCGTTACTCAAAAGCTCTGATTTCTAAACGCAGGGGAAATATCAGAAGCACGAATCCTTTGTAGCGGAGGTGCAAGCCAAATCAAGGGTGCTTCCTGAACTGGAAGAAATCAGGGAAACCCGATTTGCAGAAGATCATTTTGCCCATGAAGCTACCAAGGTAAAGAAACTGTAGGGTCTCAAAGTCAAGCCACCAGTTGCCACATGCATCATCAGGGTTTCAGGGGATTATGCTAGGTAAACCTCAATGTAGTTGCTTTGGAACAAGGGCTCAAAGCACTTGTTTTTATTGAAATGGAGGCAGGAGAAATGACAGATCATTCTTGGGTATCATAGGTGGAGAAAGAACTATGGTATAGAAATATAATTTGGCAGTTATTATGTTTGTCTTTTGGTCAAGATGAAGCCCACTTCAGCCTATCCCACATTTCTCAGATGAAATGACTTTTGAAAAGACTCTTTCATAATTATTAATTCTGACTTTAAAGTGATGTTTTCCTATTTGAATCTTTGAATTCTTCCCATTTACCAGAGAAGGTTTGATTTTTTTTTTCACACAACATGCCCCATTTCTGACAGAACACTTTTTTATACTTTGCTTTCTAGTTGCAAAACAAAACAAAAATCCCTGAAATCTAACAACTTCAGAAAATTTCTTGGATGTCAAGACCTGAACATCATAGTCACTTAAATAATCATTTACCACTGGGTGCCGTTTCTTAATTCCGTAGCTACTTTCTGATTATTTCATATATTCTTCGTTTTGTATGAGTAAAATTTTTAGTTTATGTATTTTAAGCTAAAAATCACCAATTACATTATATAACTTTCAATTGAGGCTAGTCTTTCTATATGCATTATAAATATTCTAGCCCATGTTAGTGTTATCAAAATAGAAAAATGATTTTAACTAGAAAAATAATCTGATTAGAAAGTATTAACAAGAAAACCTCAAGTCTTGTCCTTTTGTTTAAAATAGAACTTTATTGTTACTATGCTCTTTGTAAACTCTTACATTATTTAAAATCTTTAAAACTGGATATGATGGTATAGACCTATAACTTCAGAGTGGAAAGGTAAAGGCAGAAGGGTGGTAAGTTCAAGTCTAGTCTGACTACATAGTGAGATTCTATTTTCTAAAACCTATAATGCAAAACAAAATCAAAATGCCTGAGGTGTTTAAAACAACTATCCATTATCACTACTGAGGTGATACTGGACACTACAGTAGGATTCAGACAAATGTGTTTCATAGCAAGATTTTTTTGTTTTTGTTTTTGTTTTGTTGTTTGGTTTTTTGTTTTGGGTTTTTTTTGTTTTTTTTTGTTTTTGTTGTTGTTGTAGTGATGATGGTTGTTTTTTTGAGACAGGGTTTCTCTGTGAAATTTGGAGCCTGTCCTGGAACTAGCTCTTGTAGACCAGGCTGGCCTTGAACTCAAAGAGATTCATCCACCTACCTCTGTTTCCCAAATGCTGGAATTAAAGATGTACACTAGCACTGTATATGTATTCTTTTGTTAGATTAGATATTTGTTGAAAAATTAGTATATGAATGAATAGGAGGGTGGATTATTAATCCAGCCATTTTTCTGCACATGTGTCCTATTCTTCACCTATCCATATTTCTGTACTTCATTGATTATTTTTAAATTATATTTTATTTATCATTATTTGTGGGCATACGTGTGTGTGTGTGTGTGTGTGTGTGTGTGTGTGTGTGTTTATGGTGTGTAGCATGGCGTGCTTGCAGAGAGATCAGAGGGTTCTCTCCTTTCCACCACGGTTTTCAGAATTCTGGTTACCAGGTTTGCAAGGCAAATGCTTTTCCCCACTGAGCTATTTTCCAGCCCAGCCACTCTGCCTCTCTCCCTTAAAGACTCACCTGAAGGAACTTCACCACCTGTGGGATCTGCTCTGGGAGTTGACTCAAGAGAAGAGTGATGTGCTGCTTCAGGCATTGAAATTCTATCAGTACTCACAAGACTGTGAAGATATCTTGGAGTGGATCAAAGAAAAGGTAATGGCCTGCATACTCTTGGGTATTCTGATGACTCTGTCCAAGCACTCCATAGTAACTCTTTACAGTGTCATAGGTAGGCTTGAGTAGTTGAAGAATCTGTTTCTGGATTTCATTCTTTGGGGGGAAAGTAAATTTTGGCAAAGATTTGGGAGGAATTCTGATTAATTTAGGTAACCTAAATCTATGGGTGTGATTGTGGTGAAGACGAGGCCTAACACTGTGCTTTTAGTATGCTCTAGACTCATTACCATTCTCTCCCCACACTGCTTAACTGCCCACTTCAAAGGTTCGCCTGACACTCTGGGTCTTGGCTGAATTAATTTTCCACTCTTGCTTCTCAATACCTACAACTATTTCAAGCATAGTCCCCATTTGGGGCTAAAGACTTACACACAAGTACTCAGTGCTGGACTTTTGGCAGATGCTTGATTCAAAAGGAGGTAGAGTAGAAAAAATTGTTCACTTGTCTTCTAAAACAGAAGGAACTTTCAGAGTCTCTCCCAATAATCCCCCTAATCTCACCAGAAGACACTAATCCACAGATAAAGTTGTCATCTCAAAATTTACTCCTGCTTCTGGCTTTTCTCAGAAAGGAACTCCATATGAGTTATCTTGAAAAATCAACAGGGTATTGGGGCTTTGAATCTGCAAAAATAACTCTAGATTATTCTTACTGGTCAATCTGTGGATTTTTTTCATACTTACAGGAAGCTATAGTGACATTAGTGGAGCTGGGCGATGACTGGGAACGGACTGAAGTCTTGCATAAGAAGTTTGAAGAGTTCCAGGAAGAACTGACGGCTCGGAAGGGAAAAGTGGACAGAGTGAACCAGTATGCTAATGAGTGTGCCCAGGTGAGGTGGAAACAAAAGAGGCATTCCAAGAAAAAGATTCTGGTCTGAAAGAACCCATGCTCACTCATTGTGGGATATGAGAGAAATGTGACATTGTAAGAAAATAGTGGAATACACCTTCATGGACTAACATGCCATGAGCCGCTTTTCCCTTCTCTGGTTACATTCTCCCCTTTCAGATCCATGAAAATGGGGGGGGGGGGGGGGATACCATGGCAATGGTCTGCTATTGCTTATGAAGCCGTGCTTCTTTATATGACAGTGTGACAGGGCGTGATGTCTAACTTCAGTGTTAAAGTAATTTTTGGTATGATGTCATCTCTGTTGATTTCTTTTCTTAGGAGAAACACCCTAAGTTACCTGAGATCAAGGCAAAACAGGATGAGGTCAATGCTGCCTGGGATCGTCTGTGGAACCTGGCTCTCAAGAGACGAGAAAATCTGTCAAATGCTGCAGACCTCCAAAGATTCAAAAGGTAGGATGCTGGAGGTACAGCACAGTAGGAAAGGCCTCGTGCACCAGAGGCCCTGGCTAGGGTCCCCATCACCGTCTAA